AGGGCAGCCCCCCACCCCTCCACCTGGAGCAGCTCTGCGCCCCAGCCTGACGTACTCAGCACTGCAGACTGACTCCGCGGGCCCCATCTTCCCGCTGCTGCTGCTGCGAGGTAGCCATGGGGCTACCACAGGGCACGCGGGCACCCAGCGAGGCGCCAAGGCTGCCCCACGGCTGACAGCCCGGCCGCGAGCGCCGCGGCCAACTCTGCTTTGGTGCTGTCTGCAGGATTTGCCGTCCCTTGAGCCACTTCTTGGCTCCCCGCGGGTGGTTACGGACGTGTTACTCCAGCCCTGAGCAGAAATTTTCACCAGTGTGAACAAGGAGAAGGGGAGGGAACTGCTCCCCCTCTCAGTGTAATGATATAAGTACAGCTGATTCTAATGCCCGTTTTAATCATGATTTAAAACAGCAAGCGGGATCAAGCATCATTTGCACTATGTAGATGTTTTCTAAAAGGTTGATTTTTATGGGCAGTAACAACGACATATTTTGACAAATATAACATTTACACTAAACATGGTATTTCTTTTCTGCTAAGCAGATGAATTACATCTGTGCACATTTATTTAAGCAATTATATTGTTTAACATAATTTGTCTCTACATATTATTGTGGGAAAATGGTGAATGATGAGTCCATGTTATTGTTTTATTAGATTATTAACTTTTTACTCGTGATTTGTGTCAAGTTATATATGGATGGAAATTAGAATTCAATTAAAAACAGTAATTATAATTTATTCCTACTAATTAAATAAAATGACCACAAGTACCCTGACTTCCTAAATATAGTGGAATCAGAAAAGCAAGCTTCTCTAAAAAGTATATTCTTTCACTTGCTAAGTGAAAGAAAGGAAATATGTATATGTAAAAGAAGGAAATTGAACTGATTTTGGAACTTGACTTTAGAACGAATAGATCTTATCCCTTCAAGCCAAGCTTAATCACTCACTGACAGAGGAAAACAAATGTTCCTGCTTTTTCAAATCCTAGTTTGCTTCTTAGTTTTGAATGAGCTAGTTGTTGAACTGAACAAAATTCTCTTCATTCACTCACTAAGCTGAAATGAAGGAAATATTATCTCTTCACCTTGCAGGAGGCTGAAGTTGTCAAAAAATGGTTTATCATTTCAACAAACTTTTCATGCAGGGGTCCAGCCATGATTTCTCCATGATTAACATCACAACTTTCTTCAAAACTTCAGCAGAAATCGGATGCTGTTTAAGCACAGCTTCTGTGTAATTTAAGGGTCTTTCAGACATAGCAATATTGGCCTTAATATAAGTAATTATGATTTAATTTGGCCTAAGTTTGTTTTAAAAAGGAAAATAGTAACTCATTTAAAAAAAAAATAAATGAAAATTCTGACGCTGTGACAGAGTCTGGAGGAAAGTGAGATCTGTCGAGTTGCTACTTTTTTGGTGCCTTTGTTTGAAACATCATGAACTGCCTGTCAGGATTTCTCACTTTGGATCATATTTGTTCCTGTGGGGAAGAAATGTCTACTTAGTTGAAACTGCCAGGATTGACATTTTCTTTACCTTTCCTATGGTCTTAGGGACCATCAAGCAGGTAAAAGCTGCTCTGTTGCGGTGTGTTAGCCAGGAGGCGGCAGGCCGTGTGCGGAAGCCTCCCGTGCCGCGTCTCGCACTGCGCTGCCTTCCTGCCGGGCACGGGCTGCGCCGGCAGCTGCACCTGCATCCCCAAACTGTTCCTGTAGGTCCCCAGAACTCAGAACTGGGTTTGGAGCTGCTTCGCTTCTCTCAGGCAGGCCTGAGAGCATTTTCTAGACAGAAATTACCGGAGAGATGGTATTTGGTACTGGCTCTAGGTAACTGTGCTGCTAGAGACCGTCACTGAATAGAGGGGCAGGGAAGATGACTGCCCGTTTTACTGCCCTAATGTCATCTCCAGAAGGACTCCTTGCTCTTGTGCTAGGACACCCTGCAGAGTCAGCCATTACCTTGAGCAGACCTACCCACACAGTAAAAAGTCTGTGTGTAGTCACCTCAGGGTGTAAGATTTAGTTGCAGTTTATAAAAAAGTCTCCCCATCTCAGACTTCCCAGACAAAAAAAAATATCACCAGCTCTTCCCAAAGCAGAGCCTTGTTGTTCTCAACCTTCAGGAGGACTTTAGAGCCTCGCTGACCCAGGACTAGCTGGATGCTACAGCAAGCTTCCTCAGCTCACACAGTTCTGAGAAAACATCCCTCCAAAAGTCATCCAAAACATCAACAATAAGTAATTATCCAAAATCATGGATAAGATTATGTATCTAACAACGTCATGAGGTATTTAGGTATAAATGATGCAGAGTTCCCTTCATCTATCTCAGAGTTCAGTGATACTGAGGAGCTAGAAATGTTACGTTATTTGCATTATCCCGGTCCAGACAGAGGCCACGCGCCTTGCCCAGTGCTCTGTATGAAGCCTGAAACCCGAATTCCTTCCAAGTCAAGAGCAGCTGCAGTCAGCAGACACGTGGCCCGGGACAGCAACGCCAGCCTGCGCCAGCCTGTGCACTGGGTCACGCCGAGCACCTGCAGGCAGCACCTCGGGGCTGCGCTCGCTGCAATATCCCACCTCGGGGCTGCCCGGGACCGCGGCCCCAGCCTCTGCCTTCCTCAGGAGGCAGCACTGAGCCCCTGCCTCTCTGCTCCTTCCTGAAAACACTGCCCAGCCCCATCGCCAAAACATCATGAATCATTCATCTTTAATAGATTATGCAAATAAAGGACATCAGATCGATGAAGATCAATAACTGCGACCATTTAATTGCCAGCAAAACCATTTTAAGAATGAACATTATCTGCAGTCCTTTCTTGGGTAATGGCACCATTAATCCAAACGCTGGATCCTGGCCTAAGTGTAGAGGAAAAATTCTCCAGCCCTCCTCCCCGCTGCATTTCAGGGTGTCGAGGTTTTTTTCCCCTTTCATTTCCAGTTTCTGACTTTCCCCATCATTACCACCAATGAGCAGCTCCTAGCGCTAATAGTTCTGCTTTTGTTACTCTGCGCTGATTGAAATGTCGCATACAGATTGAGATGTTAGTGCTAAGTTGCCACCTGGGAATGTCAAGCTGGGTCTGAAATGAACTTTTCTCACTCTTGGATCCAGATGGATCAGATGAGGATGTTCCCAGGCTGAGCTGGGAGTATTCCAGGGACTGGGATGGCGCTGGTACAGGGTGAGACATGGGGAGGATTTTCTGCCTCTGACCACAGCCACTTCTGCAAGACTAAATCTGTCTTCTCCTGTATCCTGAGTCGTCATGTCCCAGGTTTGGGCAGTATCTCCTGCCTTTGGGAATTCATCTCTAACGTTAACAGGCTCAAATGTACCATTTCTCTTAGGGAGAAGGACAAAAGAGAATCATCTTCATGGCCCCTTTGAATTTAAACTCTGCAGCTTCAGGCATCTCACCTCAAGATCCAGCTAAGGGGACCTGCCTTCCATGAAGGAAAGACAACCCAGCTGTTCTGCTGGCTTTGCCCTCTTCGGATAGGGAAGTATTTCGTGTAAGAGATGTAGGTCTGCTAGGTGGTGGATGCTGGATTTTGTCTTGCATATGAGAATACACAGAAAAGTGACACAGTTTTGCCACAGGTGACATGTTTTTCTGGTGGGTGAAGAAGCTGTGTGGCTACAAGGCTCTTCTGCACCTTTTAGGGACTCTCGGTGTACAGTGACCTCGTGGTTCTCCGTCACACCCTGCAGACCCCACACTGGCTCTCCTTGGTGTTTGGGGTAGCTGTCGCTAACTCTATGTGGTCCAAAGTTTCTGGTAGCTAAATGTTGCATGCGGCAAAATCCCTTTGCAAAGTGTTTGCTGTACAAGCAACAGCTGCCTGCAGCTTCAGGGACCCCAGGGGCTACTACTCGTTTGTTTGTTTTTTCAGGAAAAAGCAGAGATATGAGCTCCAGCAGTCCTGATTCTGCTCCATCACAGGGCAGCTCTGGCCAAGAAGCGGCAGCTCCTCCCTTTGCTGACAAGACACGGCTCTGCCGTGGGTTATTTCCCAGCGCATCCTGCGGGGTTTGGAGAGTGGGGAGATCCTAACTGGGACAGGGCACCTGAGCCGTGCTGGCCGCTTTAGCTGCCAGAGGGGGCTCTCAGATCTGTGGTAGCTGCGCGAGCAGGAAGCCCTAACGGCTGCAACAACCCCTAGAAGCCCCCTAGAAGAGGCTGTGGCCGCTGGTTATCTCGGGTGGCCCCAGACGCACCCAGACCAGGCACTCTAAGGCAGTGCCAGCACGGCATGCCCGGGGAGCCCAGGAGAAGCCTGTGCTCTTCAGGTCGTGCGAATGCGCCCAGCATGGAGCACATTTCATGGAGCGGCTGCTGCAGCAGCTGCCTCTGTCTCTGCGCATCCCACGCTCTGCTCTCTGGCTCTTCGTCTTGTGTCCTGCCCTGGCTTCCCAGTCACACCTGGGTTTAATGTGCCCACAGTAAGGGAAGGAAGGAGGCTATGAATAAATTCCTTATGCCAGATGCTGCTGGAGACTCATGGGCCTGAGGAAGAGGGAGTTTAGCCGTCACAGTTCAGCGAACTTCAGTATTTAACTTGCAAATGCCCCTTCCAAATTCCAGGGGTGAGTAAAACATACATTATTATCGTTCTCCTAGAGCTCCAAGTGTGGATCATGGCTAAGCCATGAACCTCATATTCTCAGACACAAGGAAGAAATCACAGTGCACATTCGGACATACCCATCCCCTGCCGCCATCCATCCCTAAGCCCCATCCGAGCACAGCTCCTGGCTCCCTCCTGCGTTCCGTTCCCTTGAACTCATCCCTTGGCACCTCTAGCAGGACCCCAGACTGCCAGCACTCCCCAGCTCAAGCTTCTCTGCATCTCTTGCTTCCTCCACAGTCTTTCTGTCTCTTTCCGTGTTTGCCACAGAGGGGTATCTTGCATTAGCAGAAAAAGCAGAAGCTAATGGTGATGAGGGAAATAAATAAAAAGCTTGAATCTGCTGTTTGGTCAGGCAGCTTACCGGTCACCACAGGGTATGTCTGGGGTCCTGACACGTTGGTCCCCAGGTCTGGGTTAGCAGAGGTGGATAGACTTGATTTGACTTCATCGAGACCCGGGGTCAGAGCTGGGAGGGAGTACTCATTGCCCTGGGGAGGAAGGAGAGAGACAGCTATTGATGCGCAGAGAGGGGCGGCCGGGCGCAGCTGGTGGGGAGGGAGAGGGAGAAGCAGCCCCTGCACAGATGGAGGAGGAGGAGGAGGCAATGAGGAAGACAACGTGGCGAGAGGGCTGGCTGGGGAGGTGGCCGGGACGGGCTGCTGCGGCCCGCGTGCTGCGGTGCAGGGGCGAGCGGGGAGGCCGAGCGCGGGCCTGGCCTGGGGGGCCGGAGGCCACCATGTCCTGCGTGGCTGTGGCCAAGGGGGCGTCTGCAGCGCGAGCGCGGGGGGGGGGAAGGAAGGGGAATGGCGCGGCACCATGGCGCCGA